TACATTGCGAGTGAACTAGGGTGGGGGTACATACGCAAAATTCTGGCGATTTTCGAAGAGTAAAAACCGTCTTATTCTTATTCAAGGCCGTGAGAGTGGTACAACTAGGGGTAAAGGTGGATCTATGCATATGTATGGTCATGAGTTCTATGGTGGGAATGGTATTGTTGGAGCACAGGTATAATTCTATTCTGAGTTCCACACGGAGCTTGAATCCGTGACCTCCATACAGTTGATAACTGAGTTATGTGTATATAGGTGTCTAGCAGATAACTGGGTTATGTGTAGGTTGAGCCTGCAGTATGTAATTTTATAGCAAGCGGTAGTTTTAAGTACACAAATAAAAACAAGAAAAAACAAAATGAACAAACGGTGTTTTTGTGAATGTTTTGTGTGCAAAAAGCAGACCTTTTTTATCGGAACTCTAGTAGGTAGATGAGATTTCTAATATTTGTAAACTGTTATTGTGATATTTAAAATCGTGGTGTTACTCTGAGTGTGCGCACCCACACCGGGCAAGCTGAAAAGTTTGCCTGACCACGGTGGGAATCATGCATTGTCCGATCGGTGGGACATTTGTCCGTGGGACATTTGTCCGATCAATTTTAATTTTGGTCGGACATAACTTGAATTTGGTCGGACAAAAACCAACACCGCTATACAGGGTGTATCAAAAAAAGCGCAATCCTCGACTGAAATGTAAATTGCTAAACAAATAATAGACGAAAACGTTAAAGTTTACATTCATTTTAAAGCGTAGCCATTCAGCTTTCTAACAGTGGGTTGTTTCTTAAATTTGATTCATTGGTTCGCGGGTAATAATACTTTACGTTATTGCGATTGGAGATTAAAAAAATTGAGATGGAATAACAAATCGTTCTCATGAAAATAACTGATTTTTTCATTAAAACAAAAAAATGTTGCATTTTATTAAATGGATTGTAACAATAAGTATAATTACGGCTTTTCTTCCACTATTTTTAACTCAGTTTGAAACTTCAAATGCGATATAATTTTGGCTTGGACCATCTAAGCTGACTGACATCAACTTGCTATAATTTCTGTTTACATTACATCGCAATTCGATGACACTCTGGCTCAGACACCAGAATGTTTTGACGATTTTTAGCATTCGTTTAGGATTTTAAAACAACCTGGTCTCTTTTAAAATACTTTTAATTTGTTCTTACGTGGTTTTCCAGATGTAGTGACGATAACATTAAAGTTTAAAGAAGAAAATTCTAACATTTAAACCGACTAAACAATAACATAGTAAACTTGCATAATTAAACAGCAACTAAAAATGATAGGTTTTACTAAATCTTTTCCTGTGCAATTATTACTAGCATTGGAGACAAGGATAATAGTTTGTTTGAAAGAGAAAAGAACAGGCTTTGAAGTAAGCCCAAAAGCGTTTAACTAGATATAGTATTTCGAAAGTTATTAAGCACAAAAGATGAATTGCGTTTATTTTGATACACCCTGTATACGTCACAAGACATATATAAGTCACGAGACAAGTATGTATAGCCATTCCGGCACAACGTTCAGTAAAATGCTAGAATGCCTCGTAAATTTTATTGCAAACTGCAAATTGAGTGAATTTGCAATCGGATTTTGTCACAGCAAAAAAATGTATAATGTGACAACTTTTGTTTGTGATCGGACCAATGTCCGATCAAAATTACTTTTGCCCGGACATTTGCCAAATCTAGTCGGACATTGTCCGATGTCCGACAGTAATTTGCAGCCCTGGAATCGAACCCACGACCTTTGGGATACTAATCAATGCTCTACCGACTGAGCTGCGAGGTCAAGTCGGTTCAAGTTGGTGATATTTCGGAACTGTGTCTAGTTTCTTCGATATCAATGTATCGAAGGAACTATATAGACTCTGTCGCGGGTTCCATTTCCACCGTAGTCAGGCAAACTTTTCAGCTTGCCCGGTGTTTGTGCACACTCAATGTAACATCACAAACATCATATTCACCTGAGCACATAACACCAACACACACAAAAATAATTTTAGATCTTTTTCAGTGCTGTTTTGAGAACCAAACTCTGCGACAAATCATTGTTTGTCGAAAGAGTTCATGAAAATGCAATGTATAATAAAACAGTTGTTGAATTCGGTTTTTGTGATATCCCGAATTATCCAGGTGTCAGTAAGTGTTATCAATCTCGACTGGTAACATTGACCTCAACCTTGATAATTCTGATGTCCCGAATTATCAAGGTGTCAGTAAGTGTTATCAATCTCGACTGATAACATTGACCTCAACCTTGATAATTCTGATGTCCAGAATTATCAAGGTGTCAGTAAGTGTTATCAATCTCGACTGGTAACATTGACCTCTACCTTGATAATTCTGATGTCCAGAATTATCAAGGTGTCAGTAAGTGTTATCAATCTCGACTGGTAACATTGACCTCAACCTTGATAATTCTGATGTCCAGAATTATCAAGGTGTCAGCAAGTGTTATCAATCTCGACTGGTAACATTGACCTCAACCTTGATAATTCTGATGTCCAGAATTATCCAGGTGTCAGTAAGTGTTATCAATCTCGACTGGTAACATTGACCTCGACCTTGATAATTCTGATATCCAGAATTATCAAGGTGTCAGTAAGTGTTATCAATCTCAACTGGTAACATTGACCTCAACCTTGATAATTCTGATGTCCCGAATTATCAAAGTGTCAGTAAGTGTTATCAATCTCGGCTGGTAACACTGACCTCAACCTTGATAATTCTGATGTCCCGAATTATCAAGGTGTCAGTAAAAGTTATCAATCTCGGCTGGTAACATTGACCTCAACCTTGATAATTCTGATGTCCCGAATTATCAAAGTGTCAGTAAGTGTTATCAATCTCGGCTGGTAACGTTGACCTCGACCTTGATAATTCTGATGTCCCGAATTATCAAGGTGTCAGTAAAAGTTATCAATCTCGGCTGGTAACATTGACCTCGACCTTGATAATTCTGATGTCCCGAATTATCAAGGTGTCAATGAGTGTTATCAATCTCGACTGGTAACATTGACCTCGAACTTTTAAAATGCTGATCAGTGTCCAGAATTATCAAGGTGTCAATGAGTGTTATCAATCTCGACTGGTAACATTGACCTCAACCTTGATAATTGTGGACATCGCAAAAACCTCATTCAATAACTGTTTATTATCGCACGCTGGAGAACTTTGAATCAAGTGAAACATTTCTTCAGATGGTTTACTTATAGCACTGTACTTATAGGTTCCTCTTGGAGCTGGAGTGGCATTCGCACACAAGTACAGAAACAACGAAAAGATCTGTCTTACCTTATATGGAGATGGTGCAGCCAATCAAGGACAGGTAAAACTGAGGACATGCATACTCGAATGAGAACTAAAAGATTCTGAATTTAAACAATCCTTTCTATACTTCTTGTTGACAGCTTTTTGAAACTTTTAACATGGCGAAGCTTTGGGATCTACCGTGTGTGTTTATCTGTGAGAATAACCAATATGGTATGGGCACCGCTGCCAACCGTGCTTCTGCGGTCACTGACTTCTACACACGGGGAGATTTTGTTCCTGGAATACAGGTTAGTGCACTTTAATATCATACCGTATTTCCTCCATATAGCTCCTGGGAGCTTATTAGTCGGGGGTAGGCTTGGGCGGTTTTTCGTTTTTTTCCGGTTTTATTTTCAAACCGTTTTTTTCGGTTTAGCTTTTACAAAAACCGAAAAACCGTCATTACGAAATTGTTTACTGTCAACGCCCGAAACTCGATCCTAATTCTCAAAACATGACACTAATTAAACACAATTACATGACACTAGATACAAATTATATTCTTTTTCCGTAAAGTCGGTAAGAACTAAAGAGGTATAAGTTTTCAAATGCGTTCTTGACCCTTTTATTTTAAAACTGAAGTCGTTTTAGGTTACCTTTACACAATTTTGCGTTTTGTCATGTTCTGTTCGTTTGCTTATGTCAAAAAATACCACAATTGACCATTTGCGTAATAGACTAAATTTTGAACTAAACAAGTCTAGACAAAAAATTCATCACAGCTTGAAGGAGCATCACAAAATTAGTAATATTCCAAAGTTTCGTTGCAAAATGTTGTAAAATGCGGAAAATATAGCCTTGCGAAATTTGCAATTTTCAGTCATTTTAGATTACAAATGGGAAATTGACAGCCCCAAACCCTTCGAGGCTGTCAATTTCCGGTTTGTAATCTAAAATGACTGAAACTTGCGAATTTCGCAAGGCTATATTTTCCGCATTTTACAACATTTTGCAACGAAACTTTGGAATATTACTAATTTTGTGATGCTCTTTAAAGCTGTAATGAAATTTTTGTTGAGATCAAAATTTAGTCTATTACGCAAATGGTCAATTCCTCCTCATTCAGTTGAAATACAAATTAAAGGGAAAAAACCGGTTTTCCGGTTTTACCGGTTTAGAATCAGACGGTTTTTCGGTTTTGATTTTAAGCAAAACCGCCCAAGCCTAGGGGGGGGGGGGTGTTTCGTACAAAACTTGAAAGTCCTTGAATGTCCTTGAATTTGAAAACAAAACTTCAAGGTCTTGAATGCCCTGGAATTTGTAAAGAAGTACTTGAAAGTCCTTAAATTTTTCTTGCTTTAGTTTTTGGATATTTTCTGAAATTGTTTGACATTCAAAACGGACATTTTGTTGAATTGATCTTGCATGTTCATATCTGACAAAGCTGTTTGAAACTCACTAAAGTTGCGTTTTGAAAATTTCAGCGTCAGATTTTACTGATTTCTAACTCCTGTTCTTCAGTATTTAGTCCTTGAATTTGCTGACACATGGCCTTGAATTTCCTTGAAAAGTCCTTGTATTTGACTCTTCCTGACATGTACGAACCCTGAGTTTATCTTCAGCAAGATCTCAGCAGGTCTATGAGTTATCTATCTGTCTCGTATGACCTTCCTGATCCTTGCAATATTAAACAGCATCAGTTTGAGGCAGCCATCATTCTTATTGGTGGTTTGCTATAGGCGATGCTAACATTGTCCATATCATACATATAAACTTCATCCAGTCCGTGGACTTGATCAAACTTCATCCACTACTGCTCAAAAGTATTACGAGGCAATTTCTATGTGGTGTATTTGCGATAAAAAGCGTTCAAATTATTTGCAGCAATAAAAGCAAAACTTATTGAACTTCGGACATCATTTTCTTTTTGGTGTACCATCTAAAATCTCTTCATTTTTTTGCATTATTTTACAAATGAAGCATCAAACACACTTCTTAAGTTTGCATGTTTATAGAGATTCGAAGTCCTTTTCTTAAAATACCTTACCACAGTATAGTAGTACACAAAAGTACACCAGTGGTAAACAACGAGTCGGTTCCCTCAAAAATGTCTTATAAATCCTTCAAAACTTAGAAATTACCTATGCAAAATTACTGTGATCACAGAGCTGGGAATTTGGAACGAAAGATTATATACAATTTTCAGACCTGCTGAAATGCAGTATATATAAGTTTCATTGACTGTTCATCAACTATATCTCTCTGTAGCTCAGTTGGTTAGAGCGCTGCACCGGAATCGCAGGGCTCAGGTTTGATTCCTGCCAGAAGGCCTATGGTTATATAAATATCCTGTTATTGATTGATAGGTTGATGGTATGGACATTCTTGCCGTGAGAGAAGCAACCAAGTTCACTGCAGATCATGCAAGATCTGGCAAGGTCAGGCCATCAGAAATATTTGAACACAGATATTTGGTCAGAGATAAGATATTTGGACACAGTTTTAATGCCAAAAAAAATATTTGCGTTTCAGGGTCCAATTCTGATGGAATGTGTCACATATCGTTATTATGGCCACAGTATGAGCGACCCAGGCGTCAGGTATGTTCAGATCAGTCAACCTCATTAATAATTCATGAGTAAATTAGCCAACCATATTGCTTTATTTTGCTCACATGATAATACTGGATACCTGATGAAGTATATTGATCAAAATTAATTTAGTTCTAGGACTGGTCAAAATTAATTCAGTCCTTGGACTGGATCAAAATTAATTCACCTCACTTTATAGTTGTGATGTCATTTCAAATCCTCCAATTCGGACTGGACTAGATCGGACCAGTTCTTATAGTCGGGTTTGAAATATTACTTCTCAAATTCATTAATAAATCATGAGCAATTCAGCCAATGATAATCACCTATTTGATCACAAGATGCCATTTGGATAACCCGGTGAAACTTGATGAAAGTCACTAGTGTTTTCATCAAATATCTTAATTACGCATGCAAAATTACTTGAATAGAATTCCTAATTACGTTATGCTTGGTTAAGAATTCTATTCAAATCAGCAAACGAAAACATTCTGATTACGTCTCGATTCATTTGTGAAGCCATATAAACAACTCGAGCTCGTGTCTCACCGGGATATCCAAACACTTCGCGCTCGTGTTTTTATACATTGTTTTCTCGTGTTTGGATATCCCGGTGAAACACTCGCTCTCGTTGTTCATATATTACTTGAAACACTTTCGCTACCTTTGTAATTCTTATTAACTGTTCTGTGTATTACGTGAGTATTTTGTTGGAAAGGTGCATGCTTTGCACTGGTATTGTAATCTACCTTCTGTGTATGTTGTGTTTGTTCTAAATTTGTAAAATCGCAATGCTAAACGTGTCCTAAATTTTTTGTATTTTTCACTATCTTAGCTACCGATCAAGAGATGAAATTCAGAGCGTGAGAAAAACTCAAGATCCAATTGCAGGTTTGAAAGAGAGACTTCTGGGCGCAGACCTCGTCACCGCTGATGATATTAAGGTGGGTCAACTCGTGAAGCTATATTTATAATACAACCTTGTTTGAAAACTTTAACCAACGTTGTCGACAGTTTGGTATATTTTATGTCATAGATGAGACGATTCTTCTCAGTTTTGAAGTAATTACAACCTTAGTCATGAAGAAAAGTGTGTGTGGGGG